AGTGACAATATTTCTTGGAATCAGACTGTGTCAGATAAAGGTCGTACAAAAAGGTGGGAGGAAAGGGAGGGAGATAATTTCTGAATCATTCTTTTACCAGAATTTAGCAAAGGAAGCATTAAAAAAATTTACATCAGTAAAAGTAGAATCAAGAGTTTTGGGGTCTGGACTAGATAGAGGGGGATGGGGCATGTGGGTGTGCTTGTGGAGATGGGGATCAGATTGTTCCAAGCAAAACAAGCTATGAGCATCTTTTGCTCATTTAAAAAAAAAAAAGGTTCAACCTATGATAAACTTCATGGTTTCAGTAGTTAAAATTTGCTATGGGACCTTCAGTACGCATTTGAAGAACATGTTAGATACCGCTGTGAGGCCATTGAATCTAGTATATGAGTGAAGATTCAACATGCAAATTCTTTGAAGTTATTCTTTAAGCTTATTCCTTAAAGCTCGCCAAAGAAACCCAGCATTCAATGGATTACCAAACCAGTGCATATACACAGAGAGATGAGTGAGTTAGTATCTGAAGTAGGACAAGCCATGGACTTGCAATGGATCAAAAGTTCAATTCTACTGTTGTTGTTCAGTCATTTTTCAGTCGTGTCAGACTCAGATTCTTCATGACCCTACACATTCTCCATAAAGCATCTACCCAGCACTCTAGAAATCTTGCTTTGTTCCTTTGTGGTTGTTGTCGTTTAGTTGTTTTCAGTTGTTTCTGACTCTTCATGACCCCATTTAGGGTTTTCTTGGCAAAAATACTGGAATACTCATTTTACAGATGAGGAAACTGAGACACACAGAGTTAAGTGACTTGTCTATGGTCACACAGCTAGGAAGTGTCTGAGGTCAAATTTGAACTCAGGAAGATGTCTTCCTGACTCCAGGCCCAATATTCTATCCACTGTACCACCTAGCTGCCCTAATTCTACTATATTATTGATGAATCGTCATGATGCTTGCAGAAGTTTAATATACTCTAATGCCCTATCACCATATTACCACAGGTGCAAATTACATTTATAAACTTAAAGTTTAATAGATAAAATTTAGGATAATGGAAAACCATAGAGACAACACGGTGTAATGAATTGAAACCTGCCATCAGAATCAGTAAGACTCATGTTTAAGCCCTGCTGCTCATGGTATTATCCTTGGCAAATCATTTAACCTCTCAATGCCTATAGGCAACTCTCAAACTATAAATTATGGAGCAATGGCCAATCTGCTTGGGGAGATTTGGGGAATGTTCCTCACTGGGGGTTCCCTGCAGCAGTAAGATCACACCAAAAAAAATGTTTTAAATAGGATTTGAAGGGAAAAGAAAAAGGAACAAGTATTTTATAGCACCTAATATATGCCAGGGACTATGCTAAGTGTTTTACAAATATAATTTGTAGTAATGGATCTCATTTGATCCTCACAACAATGCTGTAAGGTGGGTATTGTTATTATCCCCATCTTACAGTTGAGGAAACTGAGGCAAACAAAGGCTAAGTGACTTTTCCAAGGTCACACAGCTAGTAAGTGTCTAAGGCTGGATTTGAACTCAGGTCTTCCTGACTCCAAGCTCTATCCACAGCCTTATCTGTCTCAAAAACAAAACAAACATAAAAATTATAACCTTAGATGTTATTGGCTAAACTTACCCATAAAATAGAGGTTCAAAGTGAATTGGAAACTAAAAGTAGGTCCTTCAAAAGACTTTAAAAAAATTGATAGGTGGCAGCTAGATGACACAGTATATAGAGCACCAGCCCTGGATTCAGGAGGACCCTAGTTCAAGTCTAGCCTCAGACACATAATACTCGCTACCTGTGTGATTCTGGGCAAGTCACTTAACCGCAATTGCCTCATCAAAAAACAAAAACAAAAATTGATAAAACTTTAGCCAACATGATTCAAAGAGAGAAATCAGTTAAAAGATGAAATCATAACAAATCCAGAAGAAATTCAAAAATAATTATCAGCATCTGCTATGCCAAGTATATGCCACCAAACCTAGAATTTTAAAAGAAATATAGAATAATTTAAAAAAAAAATAGAACATAGGAAATGGACCTATAATTTCATTAGTACAGGAAACCTCCCAGATGAAGGAATTTTCTCTTCACATTTTCTCTGCAATGGAGCTGTCTAGAGGAAAAATGTCAAACACATAACCTGTGGACCTGCATCATTCCCTGGGATAGCCAGAACCAGGTTACAACGTAATTGGGAAATGTTTAACAAAATAAAGACAATGCAACATAGGTAATGGCAATCTGTGGTTTTCTAAGTCAATATGTGACCCCAGATATCCTTTACTTTTTTGAGTTTAACACCATGGCCTTTGTGCTCAAAGAGATTCAATAATTTGCCTAGGGTCCTATAGACAGTGTCAGGTGTGGGTAACAGAACTCAGATCTTCCTTGTTCTGAGACTAACCACAAGGCAATCCAGCCACTCAAGAGAATTTAGTTATATAAAGAACAATCCATATGTATTGGGGTTGTTTTGCAGATATGACATTGATCTGCAAATTAAAATGTTTAGGAAATCCTAAAAAAAAAAATTAGCAAAAAATTTTGGAAAAATGACTAGCTTCAATAAAATTGTAGGCTACAAAATAAAATCAGAAAAATTAACCAGAATTTTTATAGTGTGTGTATATATATGCAGATACACATACACATGGATATACATGTAAATGGATATGGATATATATATATATAAACACACATAAATATGTGTGTGTATCAATTAGGTGGTACAGTGGATAAAGTGAGTGCCAGGCCTACAGTCTGGAAGATAAATGTTCCTGAGTTCAAATCTGGCCTCAGACACTTACTAGCTGTGTGATCTTGGACAAGTCACTTAACCCTGTTTGTCTCAGTTTCCTTATCTATAAAATGAGCTGGAGAAGGAAATGGCAAATCATTCCAGTATCTCTGCCAAAAAAATCCTAAATGGGGTCATGAAGAGTTGGACACAACTGAAATGACTGACTTACCACACACATACATATATATATGTACATATACACACATATATATGCATACACACATGTGAACAACAATAGAAAAGAAGGATTCAAAATAACTACAAAATGCATAAAATATTTGAAAGTCATTCTACCACAGCACATTCAATATTTTTATAGATAAAATAACACTCCTTAAAGAAGTAAGAAACAATTTAAATAGCTGAAGTAGATTCAGTAGGCATGACAGGGTCTTGCCAACATAACCAAAATTATATGTAGATGTCATGCTAAACAAAGCTACACAAAACAATAATAAAATTGATTTGGAGGAACAAAGTGTCTAGAAAATCATGGGAGACAATGATCAATCATCAAAACCATTTGGACCTTGTTGAAAAAAATAGAAAAGTAGATCAATGGAAAAGATTAGGCAAGAATTAGAAATAAACTGATTTAATAACTCAGTGTTCAAGAAACCTGAAAACATAAATTACCTAGAGAAAAATTCCCCATCTAACAAGAACTACTAGGAAAGCTGGAAAGCAGTCTGATAGAAATAAAGTTTAGACCACATCTTACGTCATATTCTATAGTAAGATCATACCATTAAAATGTTAGAAGAAAAAGTGATCATATACTTCTCACAGCTCTAGGTAGTAGATGAATTCTTAATCAAGGAACAGTGGCAATTATAAAAAATAAAATAGAGGGGCAGCTAGGTGGCACAGTGGATAGAGCTCCAGCCTTGGAGTCAGGAGGACCTGAGTTCAAATTTGGCCTGAGACACTTGACACTTACTAGCTGTGTGACTCTGGGCAAGTCACTTAACCCCATTACCTAGCAAAAAAATAAAAATAAATAAAATAAAATAGATAAATTCAATAATGAAATGAAAGAGCTTTTGCATGAACAAAATGAATACAACTAGGATAAGAAAGGAAGTAGTTGCCTGGGGGAGAAATATCTTTGTATCAAATATCCCTGCAAAGTGTCTGATGTACATGATATGTGGGCATCTAGCAGAAATATAAAAAACCAAAAGTTATTCCTTAATAAATAAGTGCATGCAAATAATGCATGCAAATAATATGAACAATCAATTCTTAAAAGAATCACAAACTTTTAACAATCATGAAAGAATGTCCCAAATTACTAGTATAAGAGAAATGCAAATTTTTTAAAGCCTGACATTTCACCTCACTTCCAGAAAATTGGCAAAGACAGCAAAATATGGAAATATGCAATGTTGAAGGGGTTGTAGAAATATAGGCACACTAATGCATTGTTGGTGGAGCTGTGAACTAATCCAAAATTCAAGAAAAACAATTTGGAATCAAGCAAAGAAAGTGAATAAAATGTCCATACCCTTTAGGTGTTTGTACAATGAGAACATTTGTAGTGGCATTTTTTATAGTAGCAAAGTCCTAGAATCAAAGTACATACCCCAACAATTGAGGGATGGTTAAACAAATTGTGGTACATGAATGTGCCATGAGAAATGATGAACATGATGAATTCAGAGAAGCATGGAAAGATTTATGTGAACTGATGTAAAGTGAGGTTAGCAGAACCAGAAAAATAATATATACATTGAATACAACAATGCAAATGGATAAAAGCAGAACACTAAAACAATAAAAACTGACGATTGTGATCAAGTTTGGCCCCCAAAGAAGAGATATGAGATAAGAGATATGAGAGACTCTGCCCTCTCCCTATTTCTTTGCAGAGATGGGCAACCAGGTATGCAGAACACTGCATATAAACTTAGGTTTTGGGTTTTTTTTATGTATTCATTAATTTTATGAAATTTGTTTCTATTTTTTCTTTTTATTATTTATTATAAGAGATAGCTTTTGTGGACATGGTGGGAAATGTAGGTAACGTAAAAACAAAAGATATTAACGATAATTGCTCAAAGAAAGTTGGGTGGTAAGGTTGGAGTATCTGTAGCCCAGTTGTAGCGGCTTCAGCTCCAGCCATAGTCATATAACTAAGCCCTCACAATTACCTAAAGGGATGTTCCCATTTACAGGGTCTCCCCAGTCCAATGCTGCGATGTCCCTCACAGAGGCTCTTAGACCGCATTGTCCGGAGATACGCTGAAGTGGCAGATGCTGGCAGTGTCTTCATGGATCACTTTACTGACCGGGACAAATTGCGCCTTCTCTATACCCTTTCCATCAATGCCCATCCCATCTTGTTACAGGTAAGTTTCTCTGAAGCTACAATGCCCAAAATGCTTATATTTTATTGCGTAAAGAATTGAAATTCAACTAATAATAAATCTGGCAATCAACAAAATGATAAATCAAGTCTTGATTCTGTAGTGTTTCAAAATTTCCAAGACACTGTATAAATGCTCATGATAAAATTTAACAGTTGGCACATCAATGAATAGATCTCCTTGTTGCACAAATCAAGACATCTTGTACATTCTTAACAAATGCCTGGAATAAAACCTTTGCAAGCTGTATTTTTCTTTGCCATCTCAAATGCTTTTCCTTTTTTCTTCTTCTTTCTTTCCTACCTTCTTTCTTCCTTTCCTTTCTTCCTTTTTTCTTTACTGCCTTTCTTCCTTGCTTCTTTCTTTCCTTTCTTTCCATTTTTTCTTCCTTCCTACCTTCTCTTTCTTTCTTTCTTTCTTTCTTTCTTTCTTTCTTTCTTTCTTACAAACAAAGGCAACTAGATGGCACTGTAGATATAGTGCCAGGCCTAGAATCGGGAAGACTCATCTTACTGAGTTCAAATCTGGCCTCAGACACTAACTAGCTGTGTGACTCTGGGCAAGTCACTGAACCTTGTTTGCCTCAGTTTCCTTATCTGTAAAATGAGCTGGAGAAGGAAATGGCAAACCACTCCAGTATCTTTGTCAGGACAATTCCCAGTGGATAGAGCTTCGGCCTTGCAGTCAGGAGGACCTGAGTTCAAATCTGACACTTGACACTTACTAGCTGTGTGACCCTGGACAAGTCCCTTAACCCCAGTTGCCTCACCAAAGAGAAAAAAACAAAATACATAAAAAAGACAACCAGACAACCCCAAATGACATCACAAAGAGTCAGATATGACTGAAATGACTGATAATCAACAAATATACCAGGATCTTGTATTCTGCATATTTTTCAGTAGTTTGTAAACTCGAACAGAAGAGGCAGTATGATAGAGTGGATAGAATTCTGGATTTAAAGTCAAAGTATTTGGGTTCAAATCTCAGCTCTGCCATTTACTTCTTGTGTGACCTTGGACAAATCACTTTGATTCTCTGGTCCTATGTTCCTCATCTATAAAATGAGGTAGTTGGAATAGAGGGCTCCAAAAGTCTCTATCAGCTCTAAATCTATAACCCTTTATGGCCTGCCATAGGAAGACTGCCTCTTTGCTTCTCAGAATTTCATCAGGGATGCTGGCCCTCAATGTAGTGAAGTCTTGGTACTTTTGGCAAAATATTCATTTCCATACTGTAGAGCCAAATGTGACCATGTAGGTGGTATAAAAAGCTATAAAGGAAGAGATTGCATCCTGTTTTAAGCCAAAATTTTCAACTTGCACTTTAGGTAAATGATTTTAAAAAAAAAAAAAGGCTAATGGTCTGTGAAAGGCAACCTTTAATTCACATGACTCCAGAAAATATGAGACTGGAAATATTCACTACTGATCTCGCCAGAATGCAAATTCAGAGTCATCTCTACAGGACAAGTTTGGAGGCCCAGAAATAGCAACACAGAAATCCCTTTTCACTGCCCTTCAAAGATATTTTAAGGTTACCAATTTAAATATATTTGCCCCAAAGAGCAACCTAGATTAAAAGTCCCACACCTATATTACACACTTAATCTATACTTAGCTTCAGACCAGACCATCATACCCTACTCTACCTCCATCTAGTTCTCATTTCATTCTTGGTTGGCCGTAACAAATCATCATTCCTGTTGCTATAATGTGAATATGAAATATAGGAATAACTTTAAAAGATCCCAAAAAAGCTCTCTTATGACTTGAGAACTACAGCGACACAAGAGCTTGGAATCATACACTGTTAGAACTAGAAGGATCCCGTAGTTCATCCTTCTCATTTGAAACACAAGGAAATCGATGCCCAGAGAGATAGAGGGACTTAATAAAGGTCACACAGCAAGTTTATTGTAAATCTGAACTTGAAACATCATTTCTAGTGATTTGTCCATTACACAGGATGCCTCAGGCTAGAGATTATTTTCCTTCCTCTATAAGAGTGCCAAACAATGTTTTCAGTTGTTCAGTCATTTTCAGTCATGTCTGCCTTTTTGTGATCTCATTTCAGTTTGTTTTGTTGTTGTTGTTGTTTTGGCAGAGATACTGGAGTGGTTTGCCATTTCCTTTTCCAGCGCATTTTACAGATGAGGAAACTGAGGCAAACAGGGTTAAGTGACTTGTCCAGAGTCCTATAGCTAGTAAGTGTCTGAGGCCAGATTTGAACTTAGGTCTTCCTGACTCCAGGCCCGGTGCTCTATCCACTGAGTCACTTAGCTGCCCACATTATGGATTTCCAAACTGCTCATGCAGCTCTATTTGGCCACAAGGGAAATATTTGAAGCAAGCCAATTTTTTTCCATTTCAATCATTCCCACGCTCGACCCCCTGCATGCCTTGACTTTCCCCTCACTCTTGTTTTGTTTATGTCAAGCCTTAATCATTGAATAGATGTTGCCTCAGTCCAACTGAGACCTGTTAAAGACCTTAGCTTGAAAAGGCCAAGGTACCCTCTGTATCCTGGGCCATCTCCAGTCCTCCTGACCTATATCTGGCCACTGGACCCAGATGACTCCAGAGGAGAAAGTGAGGCTGGTGACTTTGCATAGCCCTCCCTCACTGAAATCCAATTCTCTTGCATATCATGGCTTCACCTCCCTGATGTCACAGGCCTCTTCAAGAACAAAGGACAAATAGCAGCAGCAGTTTTATTTATGTGTGCTGAGATTTGGTGTTTGTGAGCTAGGTATGGGAGTAAGTGGTATGAGTAATGTGGTATAAATGCCCAGGGTATAAAAGATACTCTGCCCATCTCCAAGTATATTTCTCAGTTTCTAGGGACTGATCTTGGAAAACTGTATGGCCTTCATGTGTCACGTAGAGCGGACTAGTCCTTACTGAGAGAAACGAACAAAGGTACACCCTGTGAGAAGGGCATGTTCCACACCATGAACATTTTATGCTTATCTTTTTTTTTTTAAGCAATTGGGGTTAAGTGACTTGTCCAGGGTCACACCTAGTAAGTGTCAAGTGTTCGGTTTGAGGCCAGATTTAAACTCAGGTCCTCCTGTCTTCAGGGCCGGTACTCTATCCACTGCACCACCTAGCTGCCCGTTCTTATGCTCATCTTATGAATCAAGTTAGAGTAGGATTGGCCAGAGCTACCTCTCGGACATTAACAAGAAAGTGATTTCACTTTAGTGTCCCCAACACTATGGAATCAGGTATGCACAATCACACAGAATTTATTGGCTTTTAATTGGCTGTTAGAGGGAAAGAGGAGCTGTTGCTGTAACAAACTTCTATCAAGTCTCAGTCTAGAAGTGAGAGACTATCCTTGGATTAGACCATCTCAACTTTGTTTGGAGAAAGGTTAGAAATAATTTTGAGGGGCAGCTAGGTGGTGTAGTGGACAGAGCACTGGCCCTGGATTCAGGAGGACCTGAGTTCAAATCCGGCCTCAGACACATAACACTTACTAGCTATGTGACCCTGGGCAGCTCACTTAACTCCATTGCCTAGCCAAAAAACAAAAAAGACATAATTTTGAAACCAACAATTTATGACTCACAGCCACATTTATTCAAGGAGTAGAGTAGCCAAATTTGTGATCTGACAAGTGGGAAAATTTCCATTCAAAGGAAAGAAGCAGGATCAGGAGAAATGAGTTAGGCAAATTCTATCACTACCTTCAAAGGACTATCTCTCCGACCTTCCTATCAATCAGCATTCACCTGGAACTACTTTAAATATGGTGCACCATTTAGAATTTCCCAGTTGGCAGCCATTGGCATTTTCCCCTTGGATGGTGAGAGTGCTGATTTATCAACATAAACACTTTTACCAGGATCAAGCTGAGATAATAAATGATAAGCAAGTCATATTTACAGATCCAAGAGATTATAACACACATCAATTCTAATGCTTATGATAAGAAAGATGCAATTATCTTTACAGTTAACATCAATATCAGCAGGTATTGGGATTTGTTTAGAGGTATAACAAAATACTTGACAAACATTATGGTTCAGATTTCCAGGGAATAAATCTACAAATTCATTATGCAAATGAAGTACTCCAGCCTATTTAATGTTTTGACAACTTTCCAAATATTCCTAATTATTGTGAACAACATTGTATCTTTGTATTCTTAAAGTGGCACTCTCTACACCTAGAAGAAAAGGGTATTAAAGGATCTGAATGAATTGCATATCAAACAAATTATTCCATAAATTGCTAGGAAGCACCAGCTTCCCATCTGGTGGGAAGATATGAACAGGAAGATAACTCAAATACCTTGAGGTATTTTGAATAAACAAGCTCATTCCAGAAATACATAATACATATGTATGTATATACACACACATATATATATAAATATTTATATGTATAATTTATGTGTGTGGCTATATCAATATATTATATGTCTGTATCTACCTATATAAATGCATATATAAATATATATATACATACATGCATACATAAATATACAGTATATATCTATATTTTTTTGCAGCTAGGTGTCACAGTGGATAGAGTATTGGGCCTGGAGTCAGGAAGATCTGAGTTCAACTCTGGCCTCAGACATTTACTAGCCGTGTGACTCTGACCAAGTCGCTTAACCATGTTTGCCTCAGTTGCCTCATCTATAAAATGAGCTGGAGAAGGAAATGGCAAACCCCAGTATCTTTGCCAAGAAAACCCCAAATGGGGTCACAAAGAGTCAGACACAACTGAAACGATTTAAACAACAAATGTATGTGTGTGTATATAGATATAGACACATGCATACCGCAACACAATTTTTAAAAACTTCAAGTTGCCATCTAGTCATAGTTAACATGAAGCTTTAAAGATGAAATCCAATTTTCTAATTACCATGCTCAGAAGACCATAGGATAATGTACACATGTGCATATATAGACCATCTTATATATGTCACTGATTTACATGTATACTCGTACAACCTACGTCCTT